TTGTGCATGTTGTTAAGCGGAACAAGACCTTGGAAAAAGACATTGTGCTTGGAAAAAAGTACAGGGTCAGGAAAACTCTCAGTGAAACAAAGTGAAAAAAGTCACTGTAAAAATGAGCCTGAGCATGGTTAATATTGTGATGATGGTGCAAGGCAGTGCAAAGTGTTGATCTGTTCACTGGGTTGCTGTCAGTAGTAGCTGAGGTGACTGCGTCTAACAACCGCATGTGCACATATTTTACAACAGACAATACAGCAGAGTCACTTTCATGTTAGGTTTTGGTTTTTTTTGTTTTTTTTTAAATCTCGAATCAATAATTGTATCATTATTACATTTGCTAAGTTTCCTCAATATGTATACCTATTACTCTGATTCTTCTCAAAAGGCTTATCATAGTATTTCTAATTTTCACCCTCAGTAACCTGGATTTCCTTCTCCCATCTGGACTGGTTGTTCCATGGGCTTTCCAAGCTTTCTGACTACTATATGTGTACACAGAAGGTAAAATTATTTTAACACCTTGCATGTCCAACAGCAACTTCTATCTTGGACTGATGGCAGGGTTGTCATTTTCCCTCAGAACTATGAACACATTGTTCTGTTATGGTCCAGTTGCAAGTATGCTTTTAAGAAGTGCAATGCTCTGGTTTTATATTTGCATGTCATACCTTGGTATGAATCAATTTTATTTCATGTGTTGCACATTGAGTCTGTGTCTTGTCAATTGGAAAATTTTTATTTCTGGAGTCTACAACTTCTTATAATGTTTCTTAGGCCATTTCCTTCTCTCTACCAAAACCACTATTATATACTGGAATTTCTAGATGTTTTCTCAGTAATAAAATTTTATATTATTTAATTTCTTTTCTGTCTTGCCCTCCCCTCTGGGAAGGTTTTCAAACTGAAATCCTCAACCTTCCTACTTGGAGACGATGAGGTTGAAATAGCATAGAGGAGGGCTCAGAACTGCTGTATGTACAGATGGCTGCTATGAGTTGCAAGCTACTTGATGGTACTTTACAACAACAACATTCTTTCACTTTCAAAAATTATATGTTGATCACTGCTTTTTTAAAAAAATAATTTATTGTTTATTATAGGCAATTTCTTCACTTATCCTTATAAAAAATCTAAAGATAGTTTTCTTAGAGAACTAAACTTTCTCATCTCTACTTTTATCCAATGTTTCTTTTATTATAGTAATTATTGTTTTTGTACATTCTTTCAAAAAGCACTTCATCTTTGTCAATAAAACACTTCACAGTATTCTCAGACTAGCTTTTTGGAAGATGAATTTAGGTATCAATGTTAGTTATGCATTCTCAGGAAGATTTTCCCCTTTCCAAAGTCAAGCCAGTAACTTTTAAAAATTAATTTGGTAGGGGAAGGATCTCTACCAAAGGGTCCATAAAGTACACTGCAAGCTTTAATAGAAGAAATTTTTGGCTGGAGTTTGGGATGGAAAGAAAGAGGAGACCCTATAGAAAAATTTCAGGTGCTGAGCCCGAGACTTTGTAGTTTTGTTAGCCTAATGGATGGGTATAATATTTATCAGAAAGGGTGTGTATATTTTTTCTCCATATTTATTCAATCTCTATGCTGAGTACATTTGTGCCCATTCTGCATAAATGTGAGCCAGGTGAATGTGAAATTATCAAATATTATCATTATTATCACATGCAAGAAAAAGCCGCCAAAAAATAATTAAAAAAAAGCTAGAATACTACATAGAAAACATCAAGAGATGTTGATCTAAAAAGATCAAGATGGATTTAGACGAGGCCATGGGACCAGAGCTCTCATTGTCAGACAGATCCTAGTTGAAAGCAAAGAATATGATAAAAATGTTCATTTGTGCTTTACTTACTATTCAAAGGCATTTGACTGCATGGATCAGGACAAATTACGGCTAACAATGATGTGAACGGGAATCCCAGAGCACTTAGTTGTGCTCATGAGAAACCCATATAGATCAAGAGGCTGCGGTGTAAACAGAGCAAGAGATCACTATTACATGGCTTAAAATAATAATAAATAATAATAATAATAATAAATGTGTACCAGACTTGTATCTTTTCTTCATACCTAATCAATCTGTATGCTGAGCAAATTATTCAACAAACTAGACTCTATGAAGAAGAATGCAGAGAAAGACCCATAAATAACCTACGTTATGCAATAGCACAACACTTCTTGCTAAAAGTGAGTAGGACTTGAAGTGCTTGCTGCAGAAGATCAAAGACTACAGCCTCAACATAGATTGCATCTCAACATCAAGAAACAAAAATTCTCACAACTGGATCAAAAGGCAACATCATGATTGATGGACAAAAGACTGAAACTGTCAATGACTTCATCTTACTTTGATACATAATCAAGACCCTTGGTACTAGCTGTCAGGAGATCAGGAGCCACACTGCACCAGCAAAGTGTACAGTCAGGGATCTCTCCAAAGTATTGAGGACCAATGATGTTAGTTTGAGGACTAAGGTACGCCTGATCCAGGCCATAGTCTCTTCGATCGCTTGCTATGCATCTGACTGCTGGACAATGAATAAGGATGACAGAAGAAGCAATATCTTTAAGCTGTGCTGTTGGTGAAGAGTACCGAATATTCCATGGACAGTCAAAAGAACAAACAGATATGTCTTGGAGAAAAGGTCTAGCCAGAGTGTTCCAAGGAGGCAACAACAACAAAGCTTCAACTCATACACTTTGAGCATGTTTCTAGGAGAGGCTATTCCTGGAAAAGCGGCATCATGATAGGAAAAGTGTAGAGTCAGTGAAAGAGAGGAAGAGCCTCAACCAAATGGACTGACATAGTGACTGCAACAACGGGTTCGAGTCTGTCAGAGATTGTAAGGAAGGCACAGGATAGAACAGTGTTCAGATCTGTTGTTGCTCACAGGGTCACTATGGGTCATATTTGACCGGACAGAACCTTGTAACAACCACATGCTGAACAAATCCTTTCAGAAACTGGACTAAATGAAGAAGAATGTGGAATAAGGATTGAAAGGAAACGGACTAATAAGCTGCATTATGTAGATGATACAACCTTACCTGGAGAAAGTGAAGAAGACTCGGAGCACTTACTATAGAATATCTAAGACTACATACAGTCTTCTATATGGATTACATCTCAACATCAAGAAACTAAAAATCCTTACTACTGGACCAACAGACAATAGCATGATGAAGAAAATACGGAAGTCAAGTATTTCATTTTACTTGGATTCATAATCAACACCTTTGACGGCAACAGTCAGTCAAGAAATCAAAAAACGCATTGCCTCGGGGAAATCTGCTGTCAAAGTTTCATCCTTTAGCTCTCACTTCTTCTCTTATGGGAGGGTTTCTACAAACCTAGTTTATGTACCTCAGTTGTGAGTATCACTATTATTCCTAAAACTGTATAAACATGAATCTCCACGGAAATCTACTAAATTGAACTGTTTAAATTCACTAAAGCAAACAGAAGCTATGAAGGTGGTGCAGAGCCAGATAGGACTTCATTACACTGTATGTACATAGGGCAGATATGAACTGGAGCTGACCTAAAGCCACTGCCACAGCCACTGTCCATTATGTTGGTATAGAATAAATAATTCCTCGGGTTCTTTTACTAAAATTTAACAAAGATTCATACATTTTAAATATATATTTAAGTTTTTTCAGAATTCTGAAAGCCAATCTACAGAGAAGAACTTCAAAACAACTGCAGGAGATAAACATCAAAATTATTAAGGGCCATGAAAAAAAGTACAGGAAGATTCCAGGTCGAACAGAGAACAGAGTAAGATTAGGAGTCAAAATAAAGATTCAGGAGCCTACTCATAATTGAAAAGGAGATTTTGAGATCTCTGAGTAAACCCCAGAAAATGACTCATGCGCTCTGTCTGTTGTCTTTGTCCTACTACCATCAGGACAGAAGCAGCTCTTCAGCTGTCCTGGGTGTTGTCTAAGAGACCAGAGAAAGGCCAAGTATAGGGTCTTTAATTTCTTAATATTTAAAGTGCCCTAAAAAAAAAGAAATCAAGTTTTTATATACAGTGAACTGTACCTTCCTCTACTAAAAGTGGTGAAGCTTATTCCATAATTAAGTTTCAAAACTTAACACACACATACAAACACAAAACTAATTACAGAACGAAACTAAATTAAAAAAATATACTGGACAGACATCATGCCCTATAATATATAACAAATACTTAAAAGCTGAGAAGGAGTCTCTAAACAGCAGTAAATATACAATACCTGAATAGTTTGGCAAGCATGGCTGCCATTGTTTGTGAGGATAGCAGAGATGGCCTGAAGTGTTCTTCCTGTTTCTCCCCAAGAAGCCACCAGACTAAAGAGGCAAGCACAGGAAAGTGCTGTCAGGGACTGTCCTGTGCTGTCATTCATGCCAGTACTTCGAACAGTGATTTCCAAAAGGAGTTGGAAGAGAGACTCTGTAGATGAAATATAATTCAATTTTATTTGTCCAAAATAAAGAACATCATATACATCTTGCTACATTACAAAATATATTTAAGGTAGTATATATAATTACATAAATTCTTTGTAGTTATGCTTTATCCCCCCTAAAAAGTTAAAATATTTATATAACAAAGCCTTAAAGAGCATTTAGTTCAATTCCTCTTTAAGAGATGAGATCTGGGAATTGTATACTAATGAAGGAATTTTTTTTCTTTTTTTTTTTTCTCTCTTCGGAGGGGGAAGCGAGCTGGTAGGGAGGGGTGGGCAGGGAGAAAATTGCGGCAATGAATGAATGGAAATCCAAAACCTCTGTAAAAAAAAAATTTAAAAAAAAATAAAAAAAAAAAAAAGATGAGATCTATCAATGGTAGTTTAAAATATATGTTTCTAAAGGCATTTACGGGGTGAAAAAAAATTCATTCTATTAAATAATAGACAACTCACTGTGCTTACTTTACTATTTAGATTGAAAAGATATATGGGCTTCTTAAATTATTAACTGTCCATAAATGTATATACTTGTAAAATTATAAAATATATCCTACAATATAAAATTTACTTTTCCTTTAACATAACAACACTTCACACCTACAGAGTATTAAATCCATTTTATAACACTTAAAAGCCTCTAAGTTAGTAGGACTGTTATCTTCCTTTAATGAATAATGGAATGAGAAACATAGAAGTTAGGAAAAAATTTCCCAAACTGGAACAAGGGAGAAAAGTGTTTCACTGTTAGTGAAATTAATATTGTAGCATAAAATGTGTACGAATAGATTACTGAGAGTAATTTGCTTTCTAACTTTCACTCAAACTACAATTTTTTTAAGTGTTCCAAAATCTTAAAATCATTTAGTGGTAAAGATGGAAAACTTAACGCAGAAACTTTATCAGAAGTAGTCATAAAAGATTCCCTGGAACAACTCCATCCAAGATGGAATCAGCAGACATCCTCTGGTTATTTCCTGTATTGAATGAAATGTGAAAATACTTAAAAGTGTGAATAATAATAATAAAAAAAGCGAGAGAATAATTAGCAGGATAGAGCGACAGTCACAAAAAGCAATGGCTACAATAAAAAGATGAAAAGATGGAAGCAAGCAAGAAAAAAAAAGTTAATGTACTGTCATTCTCTGAAAATATGTATGATTCACTCAGTAACTCAGAAACATATGAGTCATTTTCAAAGCCATCTTTCCATCATGTTCCATATCTAATCCCAAATTAAGTTTTATTAATTCTATCTCCCTAACTGCAGATTTTCCCATTGGAACGTGTCTCCTTATTTCCTGACTGCTGGTACCAAGGGAGTTAACTGTGGATCAAAGCAAGATGAAGCTATTGACAGTTTCAATCTCCTCTCCATTCATCATGACATAGCCTATTGGTCCAGTGGTAAGAATCTTTGTTTTCTTGACATTGAGACACAATACATACTGAAGGCTGCATTCCTTGATCCTCTGCAACAAGTGCTTCAAACCCTCCACACTTTCAGCAAGCAAGTTGTATCATCTGCATAATGCAGGTTATTCATGAGTCTCCATTCAATCTTGATGTCACACTCCTCTTCACCGAGTCCAGCTTCTTAGATAATTTGCTCAGCATAGAGACTGAACAGTTATGGAGACAGAATACATCCCTGACACACTTCCTTCCCAATTCCAAACCATGCAGTGCTCCATTAACTAACACAAGAGCTTCCTACTCCAGGTATAGGTTTGTCATAAGCACAATCAAGTGCTCTGGGATTTTCATTCTTCTCAATGTCAGCCACAACTCGTCATGATCGACACAGTCAAACTGCAGTTACGGACCTTTGCAAATTACTGAGTAGTGACGTCTGCTTGAGAACTAAGGTGTGTCTGATTCAGGCCATGGTCTTTCCAATTACTAGCTATGCATTTGAGTCCTGGACAATGAATAAGAATGACAGAAGAAGAATTGATGGCTTTGAGCTGTGGTGTTGGAGAAAAGCAATGAACATTCCATGGATGGCCAAGAAAATGAATAGGCATGTCTTGGAGAGGCTGCGGCCAGATTGCTCTTTGGAGCCAGAATGATGAGGCTTCACCTAACATACTTTGGACATATTGCTAGAAGGTGCTATTCCTTGGAGAAGGACATGATGTTGGAAAGGGTGGAGGATCAGCGAAGGAGAGGAATACTCTCAACCAGGTGGACTGAGAGGGTGACTGCTGCAATGGGCTCTTGTGTCAGGAAGTGTGAAAATAGCACAGGACAGGACTGGTTTCAGATCTTTTGTTCTCAGGGTTACTTTGAGTAATACTCAACTTGATGGCACCTAACAACAACAATTTTACTCACTGACTTTTCTTCTTACCTTCATCTCACCACTATCTTTCCAATCTGTTATGTTGTTGTTGTCATCATGTATCATTGAGTTGCCTGGGGCTAATAGTGCCCCTATGAACAACAGCTCTGACACACCTACATTGTCTCCAACACACCTACCCCAATAATCCCAGTTACTCTAACAATCCTTCTCATCTGGGGCTTTTCTTTCTGTGCTGTCCCTTAACCATTCCAAATATAATGTCCTTCTCCAGGGATTTGTCTCTCCTAGCCACATGCCCAAAGTATGTGAGACAGAACTTCAAAATTCTTGCCTCCAAAGAGCAGCCTGGTATGTTCAGTAATCTTCTCCAGTACCACAATTCAAAGGCATCAATTCTTCTACTGTCATCCTTGGTCACAGTACAGATCTCTGTTGCACAGCAAGTAAATGCAAAGAGCATATCCTGAATCAGGCACACCTTAGTCTCCAGACAGACATCATAGCTCTTCACCACTTGTGAGAGGTCCCTGAGAGCAGCTTTCCCCAGAACAGTTCATCGTTTGCTTTCTTGACTGCTGGTGCCAAGAGTGTTGATGGCAGAGCCAAGCAAACTAAAGTTATAAACAACCTCACTCTCTTCTCCATCTATCATAGTGTTGCCAAATTGGCCTCATGGTGAGAATATTTATCTTCTTGATGATGATCTCTTAACTAGACTACTGAAAATATAGTCATAAATTATCTTCTACCTTTCACTTACATAGCCAAAATGAAATCTTAAACCAAAAATATGAGTCATTATCTAAAATCCATGTATCCTTTTGTTATTTCCTTCTCTCTCTCCTTTCCTTTCTCCATTCTCTCCTTATTTCGCTATTCTTCATCTTTATTCCGTACATCCTTTCTTTTCTACACAATCATCTTTCTTCCTTCCATGTTTTCATCTGTATTTCCTTTCTTTCTATTCTCTTCATTCTGTCTGTCCATACTTCTTTTTAATAATTTCAGAAAATGAATACAACATATAGGCAGTGAGACAGTGACCTTCCATCCAATTCCAGTAATAACCAAATTCCTTAGTACAGCCCATAGAACTCATGATCTCTTTCCTGCATCCCTTCATATTGCATAAGTCTTTTGCTCCATCTCTTCACAGACTAATCAAACTAATATTTTTTCAGTCCTTCCTTTTTTCTGCCTCTGAGTCTTTCTATATGCTACCCTTGTCATTTTTCACTATAACAATTATAATCTGACTACTTTCTTTATATCCTGAAACCTCAAATATCACATTGTCAGGAATATAGTTTCTCAGAAGCAAACCTATTTGCTTCACTCCATATGATTAATCCACATTTCTATCCAACTCCCGTTAAATTCCCTATGACAACAATGCTATCTACTGCTCTTCACAACTGTAGCATCAGTCTCTTAGCACAATAGGAAGCACTTCAATATTTCAGTTGAATAAATACATAGCCCAATAAAATTTAGCATACAATTTTGCAAATGTAAACTAAGAATGTATAGTTAAGGGAACAACTGACAATATTCAACCTAATCTTAAATGGAACTGAAACATGGATAAAAGAAAAGTGATTTCTTTTTAAAAGTAATTATGAGTAAATAAAAATTCATTTGTAAAGATAAGTTTTGTGCATACGAATGATCATAATCTAATATTAGATTGCAGGAATAATAAGAAATAACCAAGCATATGGAAAAAAGTTAACTAGATCAAAGGAGAAAGAGCGACAGGCTTCAAAACTAGTAAGATTTTTAAAGAAAAACACCTTGGAGCTAACTAAAAAATATGAAGGACAAATCTCTTGCACGTAAAATTAATGAAAGCAGTACAGCAATTAGAGAGAATTGAAAAAAATAGTAAAAGAGATTAAAGAATTTGATAAAAACAACTGAGATATCATCTTGAAAGAAACAATAGCAAAGTTCAACAGAACAACAAACAACAAATGCTGACAAGGTTGTGAAGAGACTACAACCTTTATTCACCGCTGGTAGAAGTGTAAAGTGGTTTAGCTACTATGGAAGGTAGCTTGGTGCTTCCTTAAAAAAGTTGGAAATAGAAATACCACTTGACCCAGCAATTGTACTAATGGGAATATATATACTCTAAAAGGAGAGTGGATGCTTTTGACAAGCTGTGGTGCTGGAGAAGGGTACTGAATGTACCCTGGACTGCCAGGAAAACAAACAGATTCATCTTGGAGAGGATTAAACCAAGCTGCTCCTTGGAGGCAAGGATTCTGGGGCTTCGTCTGACATACTTTGGACATGTTGCCAGGAGGGACGGGTCCTTGGAGAGGGACATCATGCTTGGCAGGGTGGAGGGACAGCGCAGGAGGGGAAGACCCTCTATGAGATGGATTGATTCAGTGACTGGGGTAATCGGGATGGGTGTGTCAGAGGCGGTGCGGTTGGCGCAGGATAGAGCAGGGTTTAAGGCTGTTGTGCATAGGGTCGCTATGAGTCGGAAACGACTCGATGGCACATAACAACAACAACAAAGAAACCAGAAGACCTAGTAACAACATTTATGATTTTCAAAACCCTCAAATAGTTAACTGTTAATTGTTCAAACATAAATGAGAAATTTCCTATATTTTAAATGAAAACAATCCTGGGATTATAAGAAAAAATTGCCTTGTTTTATTTTTATAGATGATTTTAATTTATAAATATGTATTTTATAAAGTATATTTTTAGATATTGCTTCTTACTAAAATAAAAAAGGAATTAAAAAAAAGAAACCAAAACTGCCATTGAAACAGAGTATGCATTTCCAGGTTTATTGCTGTGTTGTTCATAATAGTAACGAGATGAAATAACCCCAGTTTCCAACAAGCGAATGAATAGAAAAACAATAGTATATTCACACAATGGAATACTATGTAGTGCTGAAAAATAACAAATTGGAAAAAAACATTACACAACATGGGTGACCATGGAGGATACTTTGCTGAGTCAAATGTCTTGGTCTCAAAAGGACAAATACTGCATAATACCACTATTATGAAGCACAACTGACATGGGGCATTGGGAGGAGACCAGGAAAAGAGTAAATCGATAATAAACACTGTATTGGAACGTATGAGGGAGAGAACGGTTTAAATGGAATATATGATTAGGCATCATATGTAAAACAAGGCTCCATAATAAGAGGTACACTGCAAAAAGGAATGGGGGGAGGAGAGGGGAGGTGAGGAGAGGAAAGAAATTGTACAACAATGAACAAATAGTTTTTAAAAAGGAACTGGAGGAGGCTAAGAGGAGGGAGAGGGAAGAAAACGTGCAACAACAAATGAATGAAAATCCCACTTTTCTGTAAACTTTTGTTAAAATAAAAAATTTTATTTAAAAAGGACTTTAAGAAAAAAATGAATGAATTTACCAGTAGATTACATAGAAAACAACTTTTTTCTTGATATTTGAAATTATCTTAAAAAATTGTTAAAAGAATAATCTGTATTGACTGACTACAATTTAAAACATACACTGATAGGAGACAACGGACTAGGAACAAATAAATAACAAGCATGTTCCAGTTAAGAAATAAGAAATACAGAAGGCAACAGATATTTTAAATATTCCAATAATTTGTTAATTCACAAGCAAAGCTAGGTAAAACCATTAACATATATTCAAAGAATATTTCCGTAAAATTTTATCAAAATCCAATCTCATTGAGGAGGAGTCGGAATTGACTAATTGTGATCCTCCACTGGGTTTCCAAGACTGCAAACTGCACAGGAAGAGACTGCTCATCTTCCTCCCAGAAGCACTGAGTAAATTCAAGCTACCAGACAAGACACAAGCATAGCTATTGGGTTAGCAGCACGACTCCCTCCAGACTGTAACCAGATTACGCAGTATATCACAGCACTAATACTGTTTACTGGTGTTAACCACTGTTAGTGCGAATAAAAAGGCGGTGTCTGTTTCTTAATAATATGTTACATGATACATTTTATTCACTAGAAGCATTTAATATTATCTAAAAGGAGGTGGGTTACTGTTTTTAAATATCTTCCATTTATTTTAATGGCAAGAATAATTAGTATCCTCATCCCACTAAAATAAAACAAGAAAATAATTCAACTTAGAGGTAAAATGTTATATACAATTTGAAAACCAAAAGATATAAAAGTCTTATATGTGACATCAGCAGTAATGATATTCAGACCAACAGCATTAGCAGGGACCTTATTAAAAATTAAAAACTCAAATACACTGTCATCGAGTTGATTCCAATTCATAGTAAACCACCACTGGATTTCTGAGGCTATAAATCTTAAGGAAGGAAAATGTCCATCTTTCTCTCTTGGAGATACCAGTGGATTTGAACTACTGAGAACACACAGCCTCTGGTTAGCACTATGACTGCTGTTGTGTACTGTCAAGTTGGAACCAACTCATAGGTGACTCTCTGATGGGTTTTCACAGGCAGTAAATCTCACTGGAGGAGAATGCCCATCTTTCCCCCATGGCATTATGACAAGAAATGCAAATTATTCAGTCCTAGTCCAGATCTACTAAATTAGAAACTTTTTACGCAGGGTCTAGATAACTCTGATCCATACCAATGGTTAAAAGTACAGTTTTGAACTTTGCTTATGATACCAAAATAATCTAGAAAACTCTAGATTCTTTGAAGGCCTGTGGTTAACACCCAAGAAGAGAAATTGCTAAATGTATAAACTGCTGCTTCCTTTGTACACATTGTTTACGCTTAGGTCAATAGCATGAAATTATTAAAATTAAAACATCATTTAAAAAAGCAAATACATCTAATGGAAGTTGCTACTAATTCAACAAGCTTCATCCATAATATAAAGAATAATATTTGGCATATAAAAAAAAGAATGATGGACAAGTGTTAGAGCTATGTGTTCTTTCCTTTTGGAAACAAACACCTGAAAACAAATTAAAGATTTAAAATTTTTTTTAAGAAAGAAAAATTCCTCTACTAAAAAAGAAATTGTGTTGCCTCAGTACCATTCATTTTTTTCCCCTTCCTATTTTTAAACTACATATGAATCCAAGGTAATACTTAAAGTCAGAAAGGCTGAATATTATTCATTTGGGGCCAAGGGTAATAAAGACATTTGGAAGCAGGAGTGGCATCCACTTCCTAAATAACATGCCTCCGGAAATTCTATGAACTTCGATAAATGTTGATAGCTGTAGAGAGGCTTCAGGCCTTTTGTTCATAGGGTCACTATGAGTTGTGCTCTACTTGAAGGCAATCAACAACAACAACAACAAAACCAAGACTATAAGGATTGAGGATAATCTCTAGTTTCCAAGAATTTATGGGAGCTTTTCCACCTTGTCATCATAATCATGAAGAAATATCTGTGCATAATCAGTAATTAACCTTTTTTTATGATAAAAATACACATAACAAAAACACATCAAGGAAGTGACAGTTACTATCATCATGCTGTGGAACTATTACCATTATCCTTTTCTATTCTACTGCCATTAGCAACAACTCCATGCCCCTAGATGATGACCCCATTGCCTCATCCCACCCAACCCTGAAAATCCCTTTGGTCTTTTTTATCTATGCATTTGTTTATTTCACAGTATTTGTCCTTTTGTGGATGACTTATTTCAGAAAGTACAGTATTTTCAAAGCTCATTAATGTTGTAACATGTATCAGAACACCATTTCATTTTATGGCTGAGCAATATTACATATATATGCCACATTTTATCTACACCATGATCTGCTGATGGAGATTTGAGCTCTTTTCAACATTTAGGTAATACGAATAGTTGCTGCATTGAACACTGGTATACAGTCTGAACTCTTAAAAGTATAAATTTAGGGAAATATAATTAGTAAATACATGAAAATTTATATCCTTATTGTTTCATTTCCATAATTAAAGACTGCACTCAACATTGCTGTATGTGTTTCTAAGAGAAGCTATTTAGCTTAAAACTCATCACTGAGTTAATCTGGGCTCTTACCTAGGACTTCGGGAGGTTCTGACTGCAGACCTTCTGGCTGCTGACCCTGAAGTACATTCAGCAGGGCTTGGAGGCTCCTGAGACAGAGGGACTGATGAGAAAACCGTGTCTCCTTGATCAATTCAAACACTTCACAAAGTCCAACCTCAATAATCTACAGAAGATGGGAGGGAAAATTCACAAAGTTCATTTGATTCTATTCAAGTAAAATGCAACAATATCTTTTGCCAAAACTCACACTCCTAGTTTTTACTAGAAATAGCTAACAAAGTGTAGACAGTGAAAATATTAGAAACTATTACTGATAGATGATGTTCTTTTAGTAGAATTATCACAAAATAAGAATTCAAAGCTGCTTAAAATATTACTGGTGTTTCATTCTAATTAACTTACCGTTCTTCTTCAGGATCAAGAGAACTGCAGAGCTCAGTCTGTAGTATTAAGTAAATAAATCCATACTGAAGGAGTCAAAGAGTAAAATGTGCTGAATTCCTAAAAAGGATATACTTTTACAGGACCAATTTTTAAAAATACCGACAATGAAACACTGTTGAACAGCAAAGCCAAGATCTTTATTTAGTGGTTTTAAACTTTTTAAATTGAGTTGTGTGTACGTTTACAAATCATCTTATTTTGTAAATCAATCATTCATGGACATTTGTTTCAATAACATCATTTACAAAACACACAAATGTCTGATAATCCACTCATTCCAGTCTTTTCCTTCACTCATGTTAATGAGTGTTCATCATCTGTGAATCTATCCCTCCTACTTATCTTTTTCCTGATAACTAACTATATTAGAATAACTTTTCCATGTTAATGTTTCTTTATATTTTTTAAAATTTTATATTATTTTGCTTACAGAGTTCGTATACATTGTGCTTCACACTGTTCTTCATTAATATTGTGTTTTATACAATCAATCTCATCACCATTGGACCTTGTCCTTGTCTTTTCACCTAGATCCTTCCTCTTTCCTTCACTCTCCCTTCACCCACCAAACTGTGCAACTCTGTGGTTCTGCCCCTGCCTCTCCTCACCTCTCTGCTCCCACTCCTTCCTCCCTGGACCCCAACACACGTTTTACTAGTTATCTTTCTATTTTTACAATAAAGGTCTAATGCAGTATTTTTCCTAATGAGACTGAGTTTACTCAGCATAATGCTCTCTAGTCTTTCCTCAGTTCTGTATTATTTTCTGAAATTGTTGTTCCTGAGTACTGCATAGTATTCTATTGTGTGAATGTACCACAATTTCTCAATCCATTCAGTTGTGGCTGGACACCGTATATAGTGTGTGTCCTTCTGTGATTGACTTATTTCACTCAGTATAATGTCCTTGACTACCAAAAGAACAAACAAGTCTGTCTTGGATAGGGTAAAACCAAGCTACTCCTTGGAAACAGTTTTTGAAGCTCCATCTCACACACTTCGGGCAGGTTGTTAGAAGGGACCAGTCCTTGGAGAAGGATATCATGAGTGGAAGGCTGGAGGGACAGCACAAGAGAGGAAGATCCTGGAGGAGATAGATTGACACAGTTACTACGTAATGGGAGTAGGTGTGTCAGAGACAGTGAGTTTGGCTCAGGACAGGACAGAGTTCAGAGCTACTCTACACAGGGTTGCTATGATTTGCAAGCAATTCAATGGCACATAACAAGTACAACAATGTCCTCTAGACTCATTCATGCCATGTAGTGCTTCACTAAGTTTTAATTGTTGGTCAATGCCTGTACCACAATTTCTTTATAGATTCCTTTGTCAATGGGGATTTTGGTTATTTCCAGCTTTGCTATTGTGAACTAAGCAGCAAAAGACATAAGTGTGCATTTATCATCATCACAGCTCATCTTTATAAAGAATATATTTAAGAAGTAGGAAACTGGATAAAATGACATTTCTATTGTCACTGTTTTAAAGAAAAGTCAAATTGTTTTCCACAGTAGCTGCACCATTTTACACTGTGCAGCCAACACAAAGGTACAGAGTTTGAATCCTCTAGCTGCTCCAAGAGAGAAAGATGGGTAATCTCCTATCATGCAATTTACTCCTCTGAAAGATCATTAGACGGTCAGCTGTAGTATTCGACATAACACAGTAACATCAACCAGTAGCGTGAGTTCCAATTTCATTACACTCTTGCCAGCATTTGTTGTTTAATGCATTATTGAATTTTGCTGTTGTTGTTATGGTGGTATCTCACTGCTGTTTTGATATGCATCTCTGTAATAACTGGTGTTAATTTTTTGGTGGGGTACAGTGACTCTGTATATTCCTTCCATCTTTCTTGATGCCTCCTGCAACATTCACTATTTTGTCATAGAATCCTTCACGGTTGCACCTCATTGAGGCTTGAATTTGTTCTTAAAGTCTTTCAGTTTGAAAAATGCTGAGTGAGGTTCCCCTTCAAGTTTCCAGCACTAAACTATTTCAAGAAGTAGCATATTCTCTCAAGAAATAATTGTCCTGAAGGAAAACTTTCAAGCTTCACTGAAGGCATTAGAAAAAACATCCCAAAAATTGATGGAATACCAATTGAGGTGTTTCAACAAAGAGATGTGGCCCTAGAAATGCTCAATAGCATATGTCAAGAAATTTGGAAAACAGCTACAAAGTCAACTGACTAGAAGAGATATATATTCGTTCCCATTCAAAAAAAAGATGATCCAACAGAGTAAAAGAAATTACCAAACAGTATAATTATGAGGACCCAAGGGGGTTAGAGGTAGGAGGGGTAAGGGTTGGTAGGGGTGAAACCACAGGATTGCTCAATTTGGTGGGTGAAGGGGAGGGGTGAAAGAAATGGGAAGGATCTGGCAGGGACCTGAAAAGACAGGGTAAGGATGGGCATGATCCAATGGTGATTAATTTAAAAAACATAATGAGAATGATTGAATGAAACACATGTGAATGAAGAACAATGTGAAACACAATGTATATGAACTTTGTAAGCAAATGAACATAAAATTTAAAAAAAAGTTATTCTTTTTTTCCCCAGTGATTTTTCCCCAGGTTTTTTTTTCATTACAATTACTTATAATGAAATTTTACAGAGATGTTGGATTTCCATTCATTCACTGTTGCACTTTTCTCCCTGCCCATACCTTTCCATTTCGCACTTCTCTTTGAAAAGTAAAAGTAAAATTCTTTCATTGTTATACAATCCCTCCTAAATTCACTCCACTATGCAGCCTTCATCTGGACTCATGTTATGACAATAATACCTAATCAAAGAGACTAAAATGCACCTGATATAGGCCATGTTCTCTGTCATTACTTGCCATGCATCAGAGAGCTGGACAATGACTAAGTATGAGAGAAGGAGAGTTGATGCCTTTGAGTTTTAGTGCTGTAGAAGAGTACTGAATATACCATGGACTGCAAGAAGAACAAACAAGTTCATCCTGGAGAGGGTGAAGCCAGGCTGCTCCTTGGAGGCAAAGATTCTGAAGCTTTGCTGACATACTCTGGACATGTTGCAAGGAGTCCTTGGAGAGGGATGTCATGCTTGAGAGGGTGGAGGGACAGTGCAGGAGAGGAAGATCCTCTATGAGATGGATTGATTCAGTGACTAGGGTAAGGGAGATAAGTGTGTTGAAGTTTTAAGACTGGCAAGGAACAGAGCAGGGTTTAGGCCTGTTTAGGTCACTATGAGTCACAAGTGACTTGACGGCAATTCCAAAAACAACTACAACAAATTCATTTCAAATAGTTCTCTCCCTCATCTGTTTCAATGCAGTATACATAGTTTATCCCATCTTTCTCAGTCTCCCCCCAACTCCGATGTCACTCCCATTTTACAACAGTGGCACTATGCTGTATTCGTCCTTTTGTGACTAAGATATTTCACTCAGCATAATGTCCTCCAAAGTCATTCATTTTGTATATTTCATGAGTTCCTTGTTTTTCAATGCAGCATAGTATTCCATGTGTAACTATAGCACCGCTTCTCTATCCATTCGTTTGTTGATGGGCACTTGAGTTGTTTCCAACTCTTTACTATTGTAAACAAAGCAGCAATATACATGGGTGTGCATATATCTGCTTGAGTGGCAGTTCTGGTTTCCTTAGGGTATATTCCCAGTGAAATGGCTAGGTCGAATGATATTTCTATTTGCAACTTTTTGAGAAAGCACCATACTGCTTTCCATAGGGTTTGCACAATTTTACACTCCCACCAATAGTGAATAAGGGTCCCAGTTTCTCCAAAACCTCGCCAGCATTTGTTGTTTGCTGCTCTGTTGAATTTTGCTAATCTTACTGGGGTGAGATGTTATCTCATAGCTGTTTTGATTTGCATCTCTCTTAGAGCTAGGGATTTTGAACACTTCTTCATGTGTTTTTTCTGCCATCTGAATGTCTTCATTGGTGAAATATCTGTTCATAGCCTGTGCCCATTTTGCAACTGGGTAGTTTACCTTTATCTTGTTGTGGTGCTCAAGTAGTCTAAAAAATCTAGATATAAGTCCCTTATCAGACATGTCATTGCCAAATATTTTCCCCCAGTATGTGGCTTCCCTTTTTACCCTGCTAGAGAAGTTTTTGGATGTGCACAGGGATTTGATTCTTAGAAGATCCCCTTCATCTATTTTATCCTCTTCTGGTTGTAGGTTTTTCAGGATGCTTGGAAGACTGTTCATGTTGTGGATTAGGACTTCTAGGGTTCTTCCAAGCTTTTCTCTAATGAAGTTTATGATCCTTAGTTTTATCTAAGGTCCTTGATTCATTTTGAGTTGATTTTTGTGTATGGAATGAGGTGTGGATCTTGCTTGAGTTTTCTGCATAGATTTCTGAGGTTGTGTCCTTTCTATATACCTATTCAATCCATGTGCTGAGGAAATAATTCAAGAAGATGGGCTATATAAAGAAGAATGTGGACACAGCATTGGAGGAAGACTCATTAACAACCTGCACCATATAGATGATACAACCTTGATTGCAGAAAGTGAAAAAGACTTGAAGCATTTGCTGCAGAATATTAAAGGCTACAGCTTCTAATGTCCTTTATATCTCAACATTAAGAAAAAGAATCCTAATCATTGGGCCAACAGACAACATTATGATAGATGGAGAAAAGAACGAAGCTCTCAACAATTTCATTTTACTTGAATCCACAATCAATACCCATGATAGCAGAAGTTAAGACATCAAA